AAAAAAAAAAAAAAACGATATGTACGTATGTATAGAATATTTCTGACAAGATGACGTGGATAAAACGCGTTTTTTTACGACCTAATTGGATGAAAATCATAAAACATTGTTCGCGTGTTCATTTTATTGGCTCGTTACACGTTTTAACGATGCAGCGTACGTGTCTGTATTCGTTGGACACCCTATATACATATACCGTTGATCGTTACGATCAAACGGACGTAAACGTGACGCCAGATTGCTAAATCCGGTGTTTTTCTTATCGAGATTTCTTACAGACTTCTAATAATAGGCCTGCCACTAATGAAGGTGATTTTAAACAGATAAAAGTTCAACTACGGTCGATTAGCTCCATTTAGTGGTTCCCTTCCGGACTTTCTCGATGAAAGGCGGAGGTCTTATGTTTTCTGCCTCGTTTAACCCGCGCAACGTACAATTATCTTTCTTTAAAATTACTTTTAATCATAATGTAATCTTTATTCTTGCGAATTTTTATTTTTTTTTTTTTTAAAGTGAATAAAAAATTTTCTGCTTTTTAAAATTAATCATTAAATTAGATTATCATTGAAAAATGAATATAAATTTTTCTCACTATGACTACGATTGAAAAATAATAATAATTTTTAATTATTTTGAAAATTGTTTTAAAATTACGTAGTTTTATCAAGCGAAACAATTTTTATTCGAAACAAAAACACCGTTAAACGATGATTCAGTCCGAGATTTCGGTTCACACCCACTTGTATTCAATTCATTGAAGATAGAAAAGAGATAACGAAGTATATGTAAAGTGGGTTTGAGAAAGGCTTTGATGTCTATTATTTGCCGCCTTGTATCGATTATATTTTTAAAGATACTCGTCTTATTATACAGGATTCACCGATACCACCTACGTAATATTTGCGTTCATTCTTTCTTGCGCTATTCACTTTTTCTCTTTCTCTATCCTCCTTTATTTGCATAATTTTAATCGCAAAACGAGCATGAAAACATTTGTTAT